TCAGCATCCCAGAATTCATGCTCAGAACTATCACTCAGCAACTGATCCCCACCACACCGGAGAACAAAGGAAAATAGATGGGAAGAGCCTCTCCAAGCTTTATAACACCAAGCATTAACACCTGTCCTTGGGATAGCATTGGGATATCCACTGGTGCCAGTCCCACTCAAGGTGACCTCACAGGAATAGAAAGTAAGAAAAATGTGAGATTTCTTCTCCGTTATGCTACACGTATGCTCTGTGAAGCCAGGAAAGGGAAGTCAGATGAATATTTTGTATCAAGACAGAAGAGACAGTCCATCCATCTCCCTGCTTTCCCAAGAAGTGTGCTCAGTTGGCCAGGAAACAGCAAAGCACAGCTGTGCTCCAGCATGCCCCCTCAGCCTGCTCTCCTGAACTCTGGCTGGGGATGCTGAGGTATAAATACACCCACCTCTCTACTACACTATTGCACTGCAGTGCCTCATCTGCATAGGGAAAGTAAACAGGGACTAAGCCCTAAATTACTGGTAAAAAATTACTTAGGAGAGAGAAAAGACTCCATTTCAACATGGACTGTCTTCTAATTGTAATCTTTCCAAGTTTAGTCCAAGTTCTGAGGTGGAAAAATATTATTCTGCTTGTTCTGTACGTAAAACTGGAGCTCAGCCTCCAGTGCAACACTTCTCTCTAGTTTTAATTGCATTAGAAATTACAGCATTATTAAGAAAAACAGTAAGCACAAGGAGAGGACTCATTCCAGAGTTAAGCTGCACTTGGTAGTTTACAAAAACCAGCTTTACACAGAGCCTTAAGGACACTTGGCAAATTTTATCTTCTTTCTATAGAATGAGAACACAGTCCGACACATATCTTAACCTATGTGACCTCACAGGAAGGAATAAAGGATGACCCGCTCTTCATCCATTTGCTGTTGTTATTAAAACACTAGCTTTAGAAACGTGGGAGAGTAAGACAGGAGGAGGAGAAGCCAAACCAAATCCACTGTACCTCACGAAGGATTTTTTGAAATTGCAGTAGGAACTCACAATGCACAAAACCAAACAAAAGATAAATGCAAGAGCCAAAAATTAAAGACAAACAAAGGACAGAGAGGAATTACTGCTGGGAGGAAAGGAACTGCAAATGCTGATTAGAAATTTCTCAGCCCACCTCGAGGAGGGAGGAGGGGAGAGAAGGGGACGGAGTGCCTTCTCTTTCTCTTTCGTGCTCTCTTTTGTCTCCCTGCTTCCTCTCCCCTATCTTGCACTCTTGTCTCCTACCCCGGCCCCTCCACCTCCCAGCCCCCACTTCTCTTTCCAAGAGCAGAGTGCACCACTCAGGCTGGATTAGGGCTCCTTACCTTGATGCAGACCTTTCATTCCTTTGCACAGCCACTGGGGAGAGGAAAATCTTGAATCCATGTTTGCTAGCCTCCCCTCCCTTTCAGTGCACACACACGCTCACAGTCACACACCTTGGCTTATTTGCTTTCTCTCAGCCATGAAAAAGGACAGTAGCACCTGATTTATTGCTGGGCAGCAGCGGCCAGAGGCTGGGGGGGAGCAGGCAGTCTCTGGCTGCTTCCATCTCTCAGTACGCAGCTGTGGATAACCTGTTGCCTCCGGAAGCCTGTGCCCGCTGGCTCTCGACTGCATCAGCAGCATGCAGAACTGCCTCAGAACCCCAGGGCTAGAGGAAACGGGAAGGTCTTCCTACTACTGCAGCACCTCTCTCTCTCTGCATTGATCCTGCGTGCTCCGAACAGCGGTCGCTGCCAGGAATCGTGAACTACCTTCGATGGAGGGAGGAAAGTGTCAGCAGCCCAGTCTTTTAGCCTGATGGAAAAGTCCTGATCTATCCGCACATGTCCTTCTTTAAAAAGAAGGAGGAATGTAATGTCACGTTTATCTTCACCCTGTACTCCCTTCCCAGTCCCTGTTTTATCAGCTCACTACTATGGCTAGTGGGAAAGCAGTGGTAGTTGTGAGTGCGCTGGCACTCCAGACCAACTAGGTAAAGCAGGATACATTTGGAAGCAGCCAAACGACAGGGAGGGAGGGAGGATGAGCTGGAAGCTGCTGAAGCCCCAGATGAAGCCATGAAACCCTGGAAGGGAGCAGTAGGCAGGCATCGGTATTGAAGATGACTCAGAGTGAAAAAGCAAGGAAAGGGGTGGGTGGGTGGTGGGAGAGAGGTGTTATGACTAAAAGCCGAATTTACTGGTTGTGAATACTAAATCTGAATAGGAAGAGGGAAGAGGCTGAGGTCTTCTTTGTGGGATACATCGGTGGCGGTGGGAAATATATGTCACTTAAACCAAGTGTGTCTGTTTCTTTCAGCTGTAACCAGCCTGCCTGGCTAAGTCATGGTGCTGCAGCTTTTCCTAAAGCCTGCTGCTCCTGCCTGTGCCTGGCTGCTGCACCGGCTCACAGGAGACAAATTTTTGTCCCTCAGAGAGGGTTCCCTCTTTCCTCCCTGATTCCCGGCTGCCCCGCCGCTCTCATTCTCTTCTAATCCTTCTCTTTTCCTCGCTGTCCAGGTCTCAGACCCAGCCCCTTTTCAGCTTATTCCCCCTGCCCTCTCCCCCTCTCCGCTCTCCTCTCCGGCTCCCCTCCCCCTGGCTTAGGGAGGGAGGGCTCGCCCGATGGGCAAGAGGTGGTGGGCGAGCTGGGCTGTGGGGGGAAATTCCATCCTGCGGTCACAAAGGCCTGGGCGCAACTGCACCGTCACGGGAAAGGCCCCCCTGGAGGCCGGGGTAGAGGCAGGGCAGCCCCCTGCTCTCGCACCTTGTAAGGACGGCGTGTGCGGTCAGGACACCGCGTAAAGGAGAAGTTCCTGCGATTGTTCCCGGCTCGGCACGGGCAGGCGAGGGGGAGTCGAGGATTTGTCGCCATCCCTCCTGCACCGCGGCCAAGGACACTCTAGCTCCCTCGCTTTCCAGCTGCCTTCCCGGGCCGGCTCCCACCTTCCCCGCCGCCTGCTCGCTTCTCTCCCGCCAGCCCCGCGGCGAACAAGCGGCCCCAGCGCCCCGCGGGCCACGCGGAGCGAAGCGCGAGGTCCCCTCGGACCTGCCCCGGGGGCCCCTCGGACCTGCCCCCAGAGCCCCTCGGACCTGACCCAGGGGGCCCTGGGCGGGCAGGAGGCGCCGCTTCCCCCCACGTCCCCAGCCCCTCTCCGCGAAGTCTCCGCAAACTGCACCGCGGGACGCCCTAAAGCAGCCCCCACCCCACACCAACTCCCTCCGCGCTGTCCTCCCGCAGCATCTCCCCAAACCCCCCCATTTTCTCCCTAAAGAAAGCCGCGGAGCTGGGCAGGCTGGGCACGGCACGGGCACGTCGGGGCCGCCCGTGGCCCTACCTGCGAGCCACAGCAGGACGATCCATCCCAGAACGTGTCCATCCATCTTTCCCAGTGGTCCAGGCGGCGCGGGGCGGGAGGGAGGGAGGGAGAGGCGCGGGGGCGGCCCCGCTCGGGCAGCCGCCTCCCCGCAGCGCCGGCCGGGCTGGCGGAGCGGTCGCGCTCTGTGGCTCTGCTCCTGCTCCTGCTCCGCTCCTCCCTCGCCGCCGGTGCCCGCGGCCGCCCCCGCGGCTGTCCGGGCGCGGGAGGGGGATGCGGCTTCCCAAAACGGCTTCCCGAAACTGCTTCCCTCCCTCCCTCCCTCCCTCCGGCGAAGGCGCGTTTCGGTTGCCAGGTGCCGCTCCTCAGCCTACGGGCACCCCGGCACATTCCTCCGCAAATCCTTCAGCCTCCCCTTCCCCCCGGCATCCCTCCACTTCTTAGCGAGGTTCTTATAACTTCTAGTAAGCGCTGAGTTGTGGGATGTTAAGTTGTCGTGCCAACATGATACTGGGAGGGGATGGCATTTTGGGGGGGGGGGGGGGGGGGGGGGGGGGGGGGGGGGGGGGGGAGGGAGGGAGGAAGGGGACAGCCAACTAGATTTACAGCTAAAAATGACATTTTAGAATATGGATGTTGCTTGGAAATTAAATGGTCCTGGCCACAATGAAGCCACATGGATACACACACAAGGTACTTAAACCTTTTAAAGATTCTTTGAAAACTTAATAAGTCCGTGGAATTATTCATAGGCCTAGAGCTGGCTAAAATAGCATCATGCTTCCTTTGGTGGCTCAGCACCTTCCAACATGGCACTCACCAGCACATGTTTGTGTGTTGTTCACCCTCAGGCATTTTTCTTGCAGGGGCTTGGCTGGTGTTCGTAACCAAAACTGGTATGATGCAGATATCAGTGATCCACATGGGAGACGGGAGTAGTCTTCAACTTCATCTCATCGGGAATCAGCCAAAGAACATGAATAATTCTGATTTTCCTACTGCAAAGCACTGCTAAAAGGGTGCACAGGGGTACTTGAAGGAAAACTGTACAATCTATTTTCTTTCTAGCAGGTATTTTCCAGGTGCTTGTAGATCCCTCATTTTGCTTCTCAGACTAAACTTCTCTATAGGCAAGATAAGCTTATTTTAAAAAGTGTGAATGGAAAAAGATCAATAATTTCTGAGTGAAAAAGCATGTTTGCTGTGATAAAAAAATGTGTTGAAACGTCCTTGGCTGTTTTTAAACAGGTGTAGTCCCTCTGTTAGCATAGTTAAAATGGAATTAAGCAAGGAGACAATCCCTAGGCAGCTGATCTGTTTTCAAGTGTTTTATTCGGAGCTATTCAATGTTATTTAAAAATATTTTCAAATGGAAGCTTATTTTTATTCAACATTGCTTCAAAAAAAAAAATACACACCCACCCCAATCACTGTTCTGATGTTCCTATGACCTGAGATAACTGTTTTGCAGTACTAGCTAAAAGTCACTATTAAGAACTAAGCCCCTGCTAACACTAAATCATGTGTGTGTGCAACAGCCCACAGAGTTGTTCTCTTTCAGCACACAGGGATCTGACACCTCATTGCCTTTGTCCATACTTGCAGGTGGAAGACAAAGTAGAAACTCTCATTCAGGCCACAACTTCAACCTCCAGAAATACATGTGGTTCCAGAAAACTGAGGAGGGCCTGCCTCGCCATTGTTACATATCTGTAGGATACTATCCATGAAGGGTTGAATTAAGACTCCTAAAACATGAATATAAATCTATTTTTCTCTCCCCCCCTTAGCCATTTTTCCCGATAACCCTCAAAATTTCAAGCAAAATCCTGGTTTGTTGCCTTTTTGTGACTTAATTGGCCAGGAGTCTGATCCAGTTTCCTGAGGCAATGTTGATGTTGATATTACCTCATCTGTTTAACACTGGGAGCAGTACAATCCCTTATGCGTCACTATTGTTAGCTACTCCTAAGGGGTTTTTTTGTTGCCTTTTTTTTTTTCAATCTACTCCAGCTTTTGCAAATAAGTTTGGCATATATCAGTTGTGCTAAACTTTTGACTCACAACAAAGGAAGGAAAGATTTTCAATACAAGGAAGCACCATTGTTTTGCATGTAACGTTGGATTTATATCTGCTTTGAAATTCTCATCAACTCACTGTATCAACTCCTTTTTCATTTAATGTGAGCTGTCATTTGTATACATCCACGTGTGATGGATGCCCAAGCCCGGAAGAGATGTTCCAGATCTCTGTAGACCTTTGATCTGAGTATTGCAACATCTGAGCTGGCTTAATAGTTAATGTTGGGATGTTGTCTTTCCTTTTAGCCTGTTCTTGGAGACAGAAATCTGTATGACTGTAGTTAGCCCCAGTTCACCTTCAAACAGTGGGGAAATTCCTATGCAATTAGCCAGATGGCTTCAAGCCACGGCCCAGCAGGGATTCTCCGTCCCTTGAAAAACAACATACTGGCAGACTTAAACCTTCATCTCCCTCAGTAACTTCCCCATGCTTGTCCTGCATAATTTAGCCCCAGTCTGAATCTGAAGAATACTGCAATACTGTTTGACATCGCTGATACTGTGATTCCACCTAAAGGAGTTCTCTAAGCAATGGGATCATGAACAAATTCGTTTGAACAATATGGAAACAAACAAACTCACTTTTTTATTCATGCTGTAGCAGCTGCTGGCTTTTTTCTCTCCTTGCAAAGTACTTCATTCCTCCCTCCCTCCTTTCATCTTCCAGTACCAGTCTTTTGTGGTCATTTCCTCTGTTGATAAGCAGAGTCAGCTTATTAAGTTACCAGCACGTGGAATTTACACCAGCATCTCACTTAGAATGACCCATCTCGGAAACATCCCTGAAAACCCACTATGCTGCATGAAGATTTTCATGCCGTTCAGCCCCCTGGATTTCCCCTGTAGAAATTTCCATAGAAATATCAATTTCAGCAGCTTTCTGGGATGTCATACTACATTCAGCCAGTAGACACTGTTTTCTTGATTTAGTACTGAGACCAGCACACTACAGAAGTTATTAGGTGACACACCATCAATTCACAGCCTTTAGTGAGTCTCTTCAGCATAGCTACTAACTTTTTCCTCATTTGCTTTGTCACACTGGAATCTCTTTTTAGCCGTTGACAGCTTCACAGCAAGACAAACCTGAAATATATGCACTCTGGATATGTTGTTTTTTTCCGAGCTGCCTTGCTACATTTGATAGCACAGCAATACAGAGCTTTTACTTCCCATTAATGTCAGGAGTGAGGGATATGGATATACAAACTGCTTTTGTTTTTAACCATGGTGTTTGTACCATGTTTAGAATATTTAATGGAGAAATTTGACTTTCTTGTTGTAATGAACCTTCAGTTCTGTAATACAAATTCAGCATTAGAAAGAACCCAAGAGAACAATGTCTTTCTGTAGTATTTACTCCTCTGTATAAATTTCCTGTGTTGCTCCTGATCCTTTTTTTAGGTAACAAAAATCGTAGCATACCTTCCCTACACTTCGGGGGGACGTGAAATTTTCATCTAAGTCAAACACTAAGAACACGTCAGCAGTAATGATTTGTGAAGTTATTATATAGGCACACCACGATCACAAGTGAATCATCCCAGCTCACAATCCTGTGTGTCACTATAAGCAAAAATACACAGTATAGGAATAGGAAAACTCTGCTTGCGTATCTACAGATAACCAAGGAGATAACAAGTTGTTAAACCCTCTAAGGTTTTTGCTGAAGAGAAACTGTGGGCAGCACAAATACCTTCAGGGACCTGAAGTTCATAACACAGACTGTTGTGACTGTCTAATCCAGCTTTTCTAATAAAACAGGCCACATCACTTTGCCACGCTACATCAGTGTAGTTTGAACTACACCTCGTTTTGTTAAAAAAAGAATCAAAGATTCTTTGATGGAAGGGACCTCACCTTGCCCCTAATTTCATCTAACTTCACCTTCTAGTACTGCCAAGCTTGAAGACAGGGCACTCTTAAGGCAATTTCTGAACAGAGGTAATGACACTATGATCAAAGCACCCCTAACATCCTCTCTGGAAGTTCAACAGGCTGTTATTTTGCTATATGCTTGAGCTAACACCAGATCCAGAGAGACGATCTCAGGCTCAGTTGCTAAAAGCATGAAAGTAGAAGTACTACAGCATCATCATCCCTGCTTAATATTTCTTTGTTTCTCCTTGCAGGGATCAAGCTGTTAGTCCTCTTGACATAGGATCTTCTCCTTGGTGGATATCCCACTCTATCACCTATGTAATTCAGTATTCCCTCAATCTTTGTATTATGTGCAAGTAACTGTGGTGACTGTATGTTTCCTTCAAAGGTACCAACAAATATTTGGTAATATGCAGCCAAGAAAGGACCTGAGAAAGGTCTTGTGAAAAAGTGCGATTGCAATTCCTCATTTAAAATTACATTTTGAGACATCCTAAGCTACTGCTTTATCTGGAGACTGAATGGTCTCTGTATCATAAATCTGTATCCTTGATTCAGTGTGGTGTGGTCAAGTCACATGCCTCACACGTCTGAATGCATTACCTTTAGGAACCACACTTAATATCTTTTTGATGCAATTACAGACCAATGTGACAAAATCTATTTGCTGCAAACCCAGGCTGATTGGCATTAATTACGTTACTTTTCTTTAATTCATTATTGAAGCAACTCCTGTGTCAGCAGTTCTATTCTTTTGCCTGGGATCCCTGTCTCTCTGACAGGTCTGTAATTACTCAGGGCATCCTACTTGGGGCCATATCCAAAACAAGACTTTGGAAAATTTTTGTTACCTAACATTTAGAACTGCAATCTAAAAAATCCCTCATTAAGCAGCAGTTTGAGAATGAAATCACACATATGCTGTCAAAGTACATGCTTACAATTTATTTTCTCTGCATACCCAGACAGTACTGAGCACACAGATGTCTAACAAACACTCAAGCCAAGGCTTACATATATTTGGGTTGTCGAAGCCAGGTCCTTGTCTCATCAGATATTAAGGATTTCCCAGTATTTGTCCATGACACTAGAACAATGTGGTGATTTCCCTGGAGGCATGGCTTTAAAGGTATTTTATGGCATAGAGGGGATGCAGCTGTACCACACCTGGGCAGCTGGCTACCTTGTGGCTTGTATCAGCTTCAGTATTTGTGGGGTGTAGTGGTCAGCAGGGTCACAGAACTTTGCCCAGCAAGTCCCATGCACCCCACAACTCCATGACCTACTGCACTGCAGCTCCCAGCACAAATGCTACTGTTTTTGGAGAGCAGACAGGAGCATATCAGCTCTCACTGGAGTTCCCTGTGCAACCTGGAAAAACGATGCTGATACCACCTCTGAGGCCTGGTCCAGGCCATTCACAATGGGTCTAACACTCGGCAAACCCCTCCAAAGACAGGGTGATATGGCTTACCTTTAGTAAAAAGGCCTCCTTGACTCCTAGTTGATCAAAGTTACATCCTTCAGCGCATAGCTGAGGTATAAGGCACGCTGAAGTCCTTTTGCAGTTGTGGCACTGTTCAAAAAAGAAACCCAAGATTCATTGGATCAAAAGGAGAGGGGGACTAAGAGAAAGCTGGCAGCTATAGGGTACCGGTTAAATCATTCACCTGGGGAAGGGGAAACCTGCAGATTCTGATCCCTGAAACGTCTATGCATTACGTATGAAACAATATAATTAGTGGACCAGAGAGGAAAAGTTTCTCCTTTTCATCAGTATCCAGAAAATCTGTGGGTTTAAAACCTCCATAACCAGAGTGAGAAAGACATCAGCTGTGAGATTATGTGACAAAAACTTGTCTTCACACACAGAAAGAAGTGCAGAGAGACACCCTGCCCTGGCTCCCCCCACACCTGTCTCAAAAGCCCATACAACGGCCCGTTTCCACAAGTCCAAAGGCGCACAGGGACGCAATGGCAGATGAGAAAGAACCCTCAGATAGGAACTCAGAATAAAGGAAAACCTGTCCAAGCCCCTCCCAGGGCTGTCCCAGGAAAGCTGCAGCTCCAGGGTGCAGACCTGAAGCCTATCAAGATAAGTCAACACCACAACAATTTAAGTTGCAGCCTACGGATATAGGACTTGTTACAGGATGCAAGGGAAGAACATTTCAGAATTGCATAGGGCTTCTTATGGGATGCTTAGCAGAAGACTCAAAGGCAAAGAAAGAGAGAGATGTAGATGATTTGGGAAGGAACAAGTAACAGTAAGAGATGGATAAGGGGATAGAAAGACCCAGTTGCCTGTGTGAAGAGTTTGCTGGACAATGTTCTTATCTGTCATGCACAGCCCGTTCCCTTCTTCTAATTGAATTCTTTTGTAACTTTTTTTTTTTCTGAAAGGACTCCCTATTTTGCATGTATGCATGTGGGGAGGGGTTCTGGTGCCAGCCTCTAGTCAAGCCATGGTTTGGAGAGTCCCCATGCCTGGGTGACAGTGGAGAGACAGGAAGAAGTTGACTTAAATGTCAGCAACTGTACTAGGTGAGAGGGTGGTGTGCTCTCAGGGCACAGACAACAGGAAGAGCTGGGTTAGGCTGGGATTACATACTTGACCTCCCTTCAGTTGGACCTGGGAGGGTAGAGTTGCACCAGCCTCGCCTCTCTTGGACTGATGGATCTGGCCTGACTCCTCTAACATAAACACCAAATATTTCACTTTGTGGGAGGGTGCCGTAGCCCAAGACCAGCAGGCAAGTGGGTAAGAACAGATGTAGTCACTGCAATGTTTTTTGGAATAACTTTGCTCATTCTTTCTGACAAACAACTGCAAGACATATTTTGGAAACATTATAGCCGTGAATCCTGAATGAATGAAAATACATTACTGGCAGAAAATTCCAGATAGTTTTTCTGCCAACAAAGTACTAAGGTACATAGACTCTATTTTGAGATATCTGGCAAACTCTATGCATTGATGGAAAAGCACAGGCTGGCAAAGGAGTTCTCTGGACCACTTACTCTGATTTTGTAAATTCTGGAGCTGTGTTTCCAAGGCCAGGTACCTAGAACTTAAAGTGTTGGCATATCACTTAATTGAATTAACTGCCAAACAAAACAAAACAAAAAGATATATAAATACTGGCAAAACAGTTGCTGTCATCTGCTGGAATGGCCTCAGTGCTACAAATGTTATTTACAAACCAGTGTAAATGGTCCAGAGAGCTCCTTTCCAGCTAAGTTAAAACAGCAGACAACTGAAGAGTTAAAACACGAGTTTTATCAGAGGCACTGGGCACTCCTCAGGGCTCTGGGGAAGAATATTGATGACATGGTGCTCTGGAGATGATCTGTTCCCTGTTCTTTTCTGTGTCCCTGCAACCCACAGAGGAAAATCCTTTCTACAGTTTATGAATTTTATTTTCCAACCACACCTCTAGCCCTTGGAGAGCTATTACTTGAGCCTTGTGTTTTTCAAACAGTTGATGAACACATTATCCGAATTTCTTTAAAAGGAAGGGCTGCTAAAGGGTGGGTCCCAAAGCTGCACATGAGTGAAAAGAAAATGATGTGAAGAAAAATAAAACACAAGTGCACAGATGCACTCCTAGCAACAACTCTTACAGTAATACAACAGTAAATACTTGCCTTTCTGCCTGAAAAAACTAGACTTTGTGCAGATGTTTATATTTACAAGATACAAGTCATTTCTTGCAGTCTCTCCTCAGAGATTTAGCATTAATGTAGCTGGAACTAGACCTGAATATAAATTATTTTCCACAGCAGTAAAAGTAACTCTAAAAATGCTTATCTGTTTTCACCAAGGTTACATCGCTTATACATTTTTAACAATGTGATTGACTCCTGTATGTTTAACAGCAAATTTAGTAAGTGGTTCACAAACATAAACCAAACTGTTTCACTAGATTTGTGCCTCCAAAAGATTAAACTGCACCAGCATTTTTTAACCCTCTGAGAAACCAGACACCAGGGAAATGCAAGACCAATTTAATCTGACCTTACCTGACAGCAGTTCTGGCACTGACAAACATAATCAGCTAAGCCAAATATTTAAGCCTAAACAACAGCTACCTCCTTTGGAGCTGAACAGCCTTACACTACCTAACCAGAGGATGAAAAAAGTAGTGAGACTGAGAGAAAGAGGCAATGTTTTCAAGTGATTTGGAAATGCATGGAGGTGTTTCATCACCATTTTTATCCTCATGTCTAATGTTAGAGTAGATTTAACAGGACTGTGGGATAGAGAATTGCAAAGAATCTCTCAAGTCAGGGCTACATCATATTTTTATCGAGATTATCCAGACAACCCCACTGAAGATGGCTGCACAAGAAGCAGTATGATGGCTCTTGTTCTGCTGCACTACCTGCGCTCTTCAGGAACTGCAACCACATGCTGAAGAAGATCCCCCAAAAGACATGGGGACAGTGAGGAATGTGGGAGACATCACATGCCTCAGGCAAGGAAAACCAGGGCAGAAGTTAATCAATCAGGGCCTATGCCAATATTGCCACTTCAGTGTGGCCAATGAAGATCACTTGGGCTTTGAGAGAGATCAGTAGAAAGCCTGAGGTCAGAAGCAACTCTGTGCTACTTCTCAAGATGATGCAGATCAGATTATTTTCAAACTTTTTTTTATCTGAATTGTTACTCACTGTGCAAACTTTCAGTGAAGGGTCAGTTATGTCAATCAGATAGATGAAAGGAGAAAAACCCAACAACTAAAAAAAAACCAAAACAAAACAAAACAAAAACCAACCCAAAGCCACAAAAAGGCAGTCTGAACAACAGCCTCACTTTTGTATAACATAAGCTCCCAAATTATTTTTAATAAGCAAGTTTGCCTTTCCAAGTGCACACATGCCCTCTTCACATCCTCCACTTTTCTGTCATATATCTCAAAATCAAACCCAGGGTTCTTACCTGAATTTGGTCTCCACTTCTTCCTCCACTCTTTCCTGTACCTCCTGGGCCACTACCCCCATGATCTGTCAGTCCCCATTCTCACTCAGGCCCCCATGTCCTGGTAGCACTTCAAATGCTAATGGAAGCACCAGAAAAGGCACATCACTCTGATCATCTTGTCTTACAGAGTACCAGCTGTCAGGGAGCAGCAGGAGCCAGGCTGCTCCAGAAGGAGATGAAAGAATGGGAGTGAAGAGTGATAAGGTCACCCCCAAGCCTCCTTTTCTTCAGGTGAACAGCCCCAGCTCCCTCAGCTGCTCCTCATAACACTTGTGCTCCAGACCCTTCCCCAGCTCCGCTGCCCTTCTCTGGACACACTCCAGCACCTCAATGTCTTTCCCGGAGTGAGGGCCCAGAACTGAACACAAAGAGGGGAAATTTAGGTTAGCTATTAGGAAGAAGTTCTTTATTGTGAGGCTGGTGAGGCACTGGAACAGATTGCCCAGGGAGGTTGTGTGCTCCATCCCTGGCAGTGTTCAAGACCAGGTTGGATGGAGCTCTGAGCAACCTGGGATAGTGGAAGGTGTCCCTTGCCCACGGCAGGGAGTTGAAACTGGATGTTGTTTATGGTTTCTTTCCAACCCCTTAGCATTCTATGATTCTGTGAGCCTTAGAAGTTGTTGGCAGCTATCTGTCGCACTGATTAAGTCGTCTTTCTCTAGAAGAACAGTTCTAAGACGCTCCTGACTCAGGATTATTTTGACACCCCAGGTTTGCAGCAGATTGGCGGGCGCCGCCCCTCCGGCCATGTCGGGTAATGGCCGCCCCGCCCTTGCCGCCAAAACCGTGAGGGCACCGCCCCGCCGCCCTTTCAAAAGGGGGTGCGCCGCCCCGCCGCGGCGCGCGAGGCTGGGTTTGGAGCCATGTCGAAGCGCAGAGGCTCCGTCAGCCCCTTTTTCTGCTTCGTGCGGGACCAGCTGCCCGAGCTGCGACGGCAGGGGCTGCCCGTGGCCCGCGTGGCGGACGCCATCCCCCACTGCCGCCAGGCGTGGGCGGTGAGGGGCGGCGAGCGGCGCGGAGGCGGGGGCGGCGTGAGGGGCACAGTGTCCGTGCAGGCTCTCCGGAGGGTCTGGACCGTGCCAGTGTGTTTAGCGTTTCTAGTGGGCACCCTGAGCGGCTTCGGGTGTCTCTCGCTGTGCCGTCCTCCCCCTGGGCTGCCAAGGCAGCCCCTGGCTCGTGTGCTGTGGGGGTGGCAGTAGGTTCTGGGTAGTTCCAGGAGATCCCTAGGTTGTGTTGCGGCAGGGCTGACCTGCCCTCACCTGGAGATCCTTCCAAAGCACGTGCTTGCTGGGTGTTTGGAATCCAAGCTTACTGTGACCATAGGAAAAAAAGCTACTGGAAGTGTTTGAGTCGGGCTGGGCGCTCGTCGACAATGTCCTTTGGAAATGCAGGAGTAATTTTTTTACAACATGGAGTTTATTGGTTTGTGAGGCCACCAGGAGAAGGGAGAGGTAAAAACTTCTTTATAACAGTTCCTTTCCCTTCAAGTTGCTGACAGAGGAAGAAAAGGCAGCGTACCTTGAGAAGGCTCGTAAGTGGAATGGAAAGAATCGACCTCAGAAAACTGAAAAAGAGGTAAGAGCTGAAAATGGAACACCTCTAAGTAGCTAAAATAGGAGGGAGGAGTAAGTGGGATTGGGGTTTGGTCAGCTCAGATGGTGTGGAAGATCACCTCTCTCTATAAGCCTCCGGCCTGTGGAGGTTATGGCTGCTGTAGTAGATCATACCATTATGAAGGTTACCAGATAATTGTTCTGGCTTGAATTGAGGCTGAGAATACTCCACGCCTTTTTAAACCAGCACAGATCGTTCCTTTGGGCTTTTTTACCCAGTAAAATGTGTTTTTCTAACATCTTAGCTTTGCGTTTAACAGTATTTTGCAGTGCCTGACTTAACAGTATTTTTAAAATTTATAATACTGCAAATTGATACAACTTCTGGTCATAGGTTCACGTAGCTTTTGATTGTCATTAATTCACGTGTTTCTTGTCTGATGGCCTGAAAGCACATCTTACAGGCAACAAATTTGTTATTCCTGAGTGGCTGTGTGGTGAACCAGGTTGATGAAATGTGCACAAATAGAATTGCACTTTGCCATTGTTTCTAGGTTGGTTTGATTATGAAGAGACTGGTAATGCTATGGTAGAAGACAATATAAAGTAAGCTGTTAGGTTAAGATGAATGTGGTTGTGGTTGGAAATAGTGGTGAACAGATCATTTTTACTGTTTACTGTTTTGAAAAGGTGTGTATACCTTTTGGGTTTTTTCTGTCTCTTTTCCTCTCCCAACAGTTCCCTGAAGCAGAGTTTAGTTCAGAGTTTGAATTATGTGAGGTGTCAGAAAACTTAATTTTATTCCAGTCTTTGCTGGCAGTGTAAAAACTTGTGTGTCAAAGGCAAGAACCTGGTTGAGTAAATGGAGAGTAGCGCAGTTACTTCATGTTCTGTTACTAGATAATGACTATAAACTATGAATTAGTGGGAAGGATAAATTTCAGGACTTTAAAACACTTCTGTGATGCTACAGAATGATCGTAGTTTGGAGTGACTGGTAAATCTGGATTAGTTAAAATGGTCAGTCTAGACTAGTAGGGGGGATGTTAGGCAGTGTTTTCTGATTTTTGCGGGCCTCCCTGTTGGGGAAGAAGTTGTTTAAAATATGTGATCATCTTGTTATTTAGCAGACTGAGGGTATGTGATTAATGACTTTCCATTTCTGTATATTGTAAAAAACTAAGTACAACGACAGCTAAGTCATAAATGGAGGCTTCTGTATTTCATTCCACAGGTTGTAGCGTTTCAGAAGTCTGCAATCAAGGAAAGGAATAATTGCTTTACTAAAATAAAGAACACCATCCTTACTGCTCATCAGTGCAAATGGGGAAATGTGTATATATGAGATTCTGTAGGATCTCAGTTCATTAATCACAGCCCTATACGCAGACAGCCATTTTGTGTAGTGGAAGTTTGTGTTCATCTTTTGGATGAGCTTACTTAGATGGGAATCATTCCTCATTTTGTTTTAAATAATTCAAACTGATAACCAGTTAACTTTGGCTAAGATGATTGTCTGTAATCGATACACCTGAACGTGGATGTTATTCTCAGTTTGGGTCTTGAGTGATTGAATTCTGTAAGCCTGCCAGGCTTCTCTTCCTGTCCTATTAAAAGCTTATTGTTCCTGAGTGGGTTTTCAGTGTTTATGGGCATGCATGCCCGTCTTCCTTGCTGTCTGCTGGAACAAGCTGATGACTTCTTTGTGGCTGTATGAGCTTTTCATGAATTTGTTCCTGGCCAAAGACAACTAACACATATGCCATGTGCTTTTATTAATAAATCTTAGGGGAAAAAGACTTCAATTTCCAGTTTGAGGAGTTCCTTACCAGAGATAAGTAGTTGAACCTAAGAAATTTTTTTTTAATGACAGTTTGCAAATTTAGTTGTAGTTCTTTAAAGTTGTAGTGAGTTGATGAAGGTATTGAAGAGAAATATTGCCTTCCTGGCTTGAAGGCGTACAGGCACTTTCTATATAAAATGCAGACTTATTCCACCTAACCATAATTGTTATAGTGGATGTTACATTTTCCTCTGATATAAGGAGTGAAGGACTTCACTTGGGGTGAGAAGACTCTGTGTGTGGTTTTTGTTTGTTTGTTTGTTTTTTAACTTTCTCATCTTTTCCAGACACATAATCTGGGTGATCCAGTTCCTGCTTCTCTGACCAAAAAGATGCCCAGTGTTACTTCTTTGCCAGATGCCTTTGCTATGTCTTGGAATAATGATCAGGGTATGGTAGTCCTAAAGCCATTGATCCTCCTAGGTGAAAGTTTGCCTTCTGTGGATGTTCTCAGTGGTACCTGTATAAAGGCTGTTTACATTTAGCTAATAGACACCTGTGTGAACTGTTCTTTGTTTGAAACTGTTCTTCTTTGTTTTAAACTATTTTGCTACTGATTTAATAGGTAGTATAGAGGGAAGTTGTGGAAAATGCCCCTTCCCCCCCCCCAAATCTCTAAGATTTCTACCCTCTGTTTTTTAGCTTGGTGGGAGAATAGCCACTAAAAGTTTCTTAACAGTTATTTCAAGTTTTTCGTTTGTTTGTTTGTTTTTGTTTTAGAAAAAGTAATTTTTCAAGTCCTGCATTTATGATTCGTTTTAAAGGGTGAAGAGTTATTAGGTATCAAAGTTCAAGTTTTGTAAGGTAGAGGTATTCAATAAAACAATGACCTGGCCTCTTTGGGAGAATAGAAGAGAAGATGTGTAGTCTTGGTGCCTTTTATAACATCCTGACTTGCTTCCTTATCGAAAGAACTCTTGAAAATGAAACCTTCCTTAGCTGTACCCCGTCTTCAAGTGGATGTTTTAATTAGGGTTGAGTAATGAACATATTTGTAATCCTTTACCCCATGAATATTATGCTATTCTGAAAGGTGATGGAAGGTAATGCTCACAAGGTCAGCTTGGCATACAGCATTGTTTCTGTGTAAAAACAGTTACACATCTTTATCATTTCATGGAGCAAGTAGGAGTTTTTTGATGGGGGGCAGAACTTAAGGGTGAGGAGTAAATGGCTACCTTAAACTTCAGTGAGGATGTTATGTGACAGTCATGAAGAGAAGGATTAAGGTGTGTAGTGAAATATTTTTTATAATTGGATACTTTTTAAATCAGTAAATGATAGATTTATATATTAACATTTGTCTTGGGTGTTCTTGCCGCTTTCTTTGGGAGCTCATTTGGTGGAGGAGAAGCAGTGCTTTTAATTAGCAGACTTCTCATCTTCTTGCCCCATAAGATTATTACCAGCTCATTTAACTTGTGTAAGTTACTAAATTGAGCTTGTGAGGCTGCTTTGCAGATATTGATTTTTTTTTTCCCCTTGTCCTTATTTTCCTAAAGTGCAAAGAGACCTATCGTTAAAAGGAATAGTAGTTCCTGTTGGATTCCAGGTTTCTTAAAAATTTATGGGTTTGGGGGTTGGCTTTTTTGGGAGCAGGAGATTTGTTTTTTTTTTCTGGTGTTTTTTTTTTTTGTTGTTGTTGTTGTTTGTTTGGTGTTTTGTAGTGGGTTTTTGTTTGGTTTTGGGGGGTTATGTGGTTTTTTTGGGGGGTGTTGTGGGTTTTTTGGTAGGGTTTTTGTTTGGTTTTGCTTTTATTTGTGGGGGTTTTTTGCCTGATCTCTACATACAGTAGTAGCTATGGAAGTAGTACCAGGTCTCCTGATACACCTGGCTCGTGCTTAAGTATTAGTTATCTTGTCATCTCGGAAAGATCTGCATGTTTTATTTGGTTGTTACCCTACTTCACTCAGTCATGCTGTAATGTCTGGAGGCTTGTGTGCAAACGGTTTTGTTCTTTTCCTGGCAGATGTGGTTGCAGACATCTTCTACTTCCTGGACATTTACAGCCATGGCAAGCTGCCAGCCCCGTGTGAGCAGCGCTTTCTTCCTTGTGAGATTGGGTGTGTCAGGTACTCCCTACAGGATGGCATCATGGCTGATTTCCATCACTTCATAGATCCAGGTGAGTTCCAAGAGAGTAGAGATGGCTTCAGTGTCAGAACTGCAGGAAACTTCAAAGAGGGTGGAATAAGTCCAGGAAGACCTTCAGATGTTTGTAGTTTGTATTTCTTGTCAAGGAATGTTTCTCTTGATTGCACCTAAACACACTGTGCAATGTACTTTGTTTTTTAAAATGCATATAACAGAAAATAGCTTTTTCAAAAATAGTTGTGGCACTTGTACAAGGCCACAAGGGAAGATGAAGCTGTTTCCTTCTGTATGTGAGAATTGGTGTGGAGTTGAGAGTTAAGGATCTGTCATTGTGGATGTTGGGTGACTGTTCTTTTTCTCCTGCAGAAGCACCACCACGAGGTTTTCGGTACCACTGCCAGGCTGCAGGTGAGTATCAGTGGAGAAAAAGAATACCATGCAAAGGTTCACAGTTTTAGATTCAGCTTTTCTGACCTGTATCCAAGTGTTTTGTAAGTCTGCAGTTTCTGGGAACTTGTCAAATTTCAAAGAGAAGAGATGTTAGAGTGGCTTGTCACAGTCACCTTTTGCATATTTCTTGTACCTACAAGTGACAAACCACTTCACTCAAAATGGTTTTGTCAATGGCAGAATTATTTGTATCCTGTTTTCCTGTTTTAATGCAATAGTAACTGCAACATGGGACAATTGTGTGTGGCCCAATGTGTGACCTATCAAGCCCATCTGAGCAGTGTGTCCTTCCCTTGATAGTCCTTTTGTATATCTTCAGCATGAAGCGCTAATTAATAACAGGGTAACTCAAAGATGCTGGTTTATATTTAAAAGTTATATTTTGCAACTTTATCAGCAAAGTTAAAATGTTCATGCCATTGTTGTGTCTGCCTTGGCCTGCCTTGTTTCCCTTATGACTCTTAGTAACATTTATAGATTCCAGTTAGTTTCTATTAGGACACTTCCTCCCCTTGTGTACAGAGGGAACACACTTGGCCTGTGTTTTTTTATGTCAAATACTTGGATAATGGCCTTTTAGAAGGGGCAGGAGTGTGTGTGTGTTTGCTCATAGCCCAGACCTGCCAGGCTTCTGCTGGCAGAAGCAAGGTTTTGATAGCTCTGATCACAGACACTGCCTGTGGAGAAGGGGAGGAGTGTGTGTTTATGTGGATACATGTATGTATAGAAAAAGACAGAAGGGAGGAGGAAGCTGTATCATTTAAGGAAACAGGACTTCTCACAAGTTTTTGTGGTTTTTTTCCTGTCCCCGTTCCCTCTCCTTCACTAGGTGCTGAAACTCATAAGATCCCTATATCTGGATTTCATCTTCCACGTACATGTTACGCAGTTGTCTTACAGGAACTTCTTGAGTTTGCCCAGCCAGCCAGAGGGTTCCAGCCTCGCTTTTTCTGCAGGGTATGGCCAAGGTCAAAGTAAGATGCTCTAAATCTAAACTTCTGCTTTCACGTCTCTTGGATGACTGAGAAGTTACTTCACTCTAAAATCAGGGTGCAGATGAGTGGGAAAAGACGCTCATGTCCGATGTGTCCCAGTTCCATGCAGGAAGAAATGGCCTTTGGAAGCTAATCTTTTTATAAAGCAGAGACCTAATTTTCTGTCTTCTTATTTTCAGCTTGTACTTCTGGCTCTAGCCTACTGGTGAACAGGATTTGTTGGTCTCTGACATTTTTTTTGGCTTAGGTTAAGGGCTTTTTAAGATTGACTTAAACTAAATGTGCTCAATAAAAGTCATACAATTCTATTTTTTTCAGGGGATGTTATTATGTTTTTGGAACTCCTTGCCCATGAGAATACCATGTGTCTTAATTTTTGCTCAAGCTTCATTTGTCAAGGAACAAAATAAAATGTTAGGATTCAGAGGTGTTTAAGCTTCATAACAGGTATATTATGTTTCAATTCCATTCAAGCCTAATCTTAACCCTTAAAAAGGTTTGGACGGTCAAGATCTTGGGTTCCATCCATAAATAGAGGGCTCTGAAGAGATGTGCGTGAAACTTGGTTCCTCTTCAAGATAGTTTTCAGGAAGAGTGTACATTCAGTCCCACAAACAGTTCTGGTTTGGAGGTGACTTTTTCAGGCACAGTGAGAATTTATGCTGTGCTCCTTAGAGGTGACAGAAATTTTCTTCCCTCTAGTTTAATGACAGATTCCGAATTAACTGGTGCCTCGGTCGAATGGCTAGCGTAGCAGGTAGGAAATGGATCCTTTTTGCCCTTTCTTTTCTCCTCCTTACCCCCAGAAATAAGGGTTATGTAGTCATGGACAGCTGTATTGGTCTGAAAATCGTGCCTCAAGAGTTTTCATAAAAGGTAGTCAACTACTTTGAGCGCTTCTTGCTCTTCTTTTCTCCCTGTCAGTGTAGAAAGCCCACTTTGCTGTGAAGCCAGGTTTTATGAAAAGCACTGGTGGAATAACTCTGAGCCCAGTAAAAGGCTGGGCAATAAAAAGGGACTGACTGAGAAGTGAGCTGAGCAGAATATTCACTGACTCTTGTTCTCCTGGCCTGGATTTTCACTGAACTGTAGGCATTGAGAGCCATCTACAGCTTTTTTCTGTAGAAGACCTGATAGTAGAACTGTACCTGAAGAAATACCTAAAGGAGCCATCCAAGACATGGGTGTCTAGAAAACTGGATGCCTGCCTGTGGGATTTCTCCAGTAACACCAGGTATGTTGGCTGGTTCTTTGTGTAAATGTGTGTTAGCGTGTTCTGGTGCTCTTCAGACAGCTTGTGTGCTGCTAGGCCTTCCAATTGAAATCCTTCTTGTCACATCATGAGTACAACTGAAAATGAAAATTACTCTTCCAGAAGAAGAGTAAAGACAGGTGGCTTTTTAATGCTGAGTCTGAGGCCTAATTTAAAGGAAGGGTATAAAAATGGGAATAAAATACATTGTGGCATTTAACTGGAACTCACAGAAGTGAGAAGATTCAGACTCTTAGAAGTAAAGTTTGGATGGGACCTGGCTGTTGCTGTACATCAAATGCTGCATGCTGCTGCTGTGATGAGGGACAAAGTGTGTTTGCCACTGGTATAAATCAAGTTCTCAAGGATAGGATTAAGCAAGATCCTATCTGTTCCTTTTTTCTTCCAGAACAAATGTTCTCTATTACACAGCTGGAATACTATTTACTTTGTAGGATCTGTACTTTCTCCCCCCCTCCATGTCTTCAACATTGAAGCTTTTCCTGCTTTCACATTCTTCTGTGTTGGTGCAAAAAGTGGTGTGTAGCTTGCAGTGCTGCAGGAGCCTATTGGGTGATGATGCATTTAATTTAGAAATAGATTTTAACTTTTCCTCTGCTTGGAAGTCTGCTTGGAATATGGATTTCAAGACCCACTGGGTTCATTGGTGTCACTTTGTCTTTTTGTATGAGGTAGTTCTGCATTTCCCCAACTATCTTCACACTAGAGGAAGAGTTTAAGGCGAATGGAAAATTGTACTCTAAAATGGACGTTTGGAAGGACAGTGAGGATGCTTATGCTATGAGGAACTATTTCATCTTAATGGGAAACCTCAAATGGTTACCTTTAAATCCCATTTGTCTCTCTTTTCTCCCTGCCACCCACCTCAGCACAAAGCAGGTTGCCTGATAACCAGGCTTTTAACTCTGCATAAACTACTTAGGGCACAGCTGCTGAACTCTGGTCCTCTGTGAAATTTTTCAAGGTACTACATGGTCACTGCAACAAAAAGACAACATCTTTAATATTTGCTCCCGTTCCGTCTGACCAGACCAACTGTTCATGTTGGTTAACAACATAGGTGCTTCTGAAATGAGCCTGAACTTTGTTTCACGTAGGTGCAAGTGGCATGAGGAGAACGATATAATCTGCTGTGCTTTGGCATCGTGTAAGAAAATTGCGTGAGTATTGCTATGGAGTTCTCTCCAGTATGATGACTTCTTATTTTGTCAGTATTGCAGAGTAGAGAGAAGTGTCAATTGCATTAGAATTCACTGTTTTTCTTCAGAGGTTTACTGTATTTGGTGAGAAATTCTCAGTATATTCTAGTATGTCTCTGCTTTGGAAACTTTTATACTGCCTTATATATAATGTAGAGTCATAAGGTTGTGTTGTCTTTTTGGTGTGGAGAAGGGAAAAGTAAATAGCTGGGAAATGAGGAAATGCCATTTGTAATCTCAGTCGGTAGTAGTAGCAGCACTTAGAGAGGCAATAATGAATAGTCTTTCATTCAAAAATCTCTTTAGGTGCTGCTGTGTGTTGCCTTTCACAGTTCTGAGTGCTGCATTTGATTGTGTGGGGAAGCGGTTGTTTTCATTTTGTGTGTAGTTGTAGAATAGGCTGGTGGTCTTGGAAGGATGCAGAGGAACTATTTAGCTGCCGCCATAAAGTCTTCTGCCCTCTGGCATCTGCTCTGTGCATCTCAGGTTGCTTTTGTTTGCCAGTTGAGGAATTTGAAATGCTGTGCTTCCATACATAAGCATTACAACCCTCTTAGCCGAACTTTCCTTGTTTTCTTTTTTTTTGTGTCAAGTTACTGCATCAGTAGCTCTTTAGCCGACGTGTATGGAGTCCCACTAACAACAGCTCACCTACCTCTGAGAGTCTCTCATTGTGATCAAAGCACAAGTACCAGGATTGTGAAACTGGATGCTGGTTTTCAGGTCAGATTCTTTAAACTGATACCCTGATTTATTTCTAGTTCATATGAGTGTTCAAACTTGCTGATTTCAGGTGAGCTGTTTTCTCTCTGGATGCTGCCCTTTGTGACATCTGTTGGGCAGACTGATGAACCTGTGGTTTTTTTGACCATAATTCATTTGTTTCATGGGTAGTGGTATAGAACACACATTTCATTTTGAATGTTTATTTCTTCATACAGAAAATGAAAGCTGAGAGTTCTGGATATGACAGACCTTTTGGTTCTCCAAGTCAGGATGGTGAGTTTATCCCTTCTAATCGTGAGTTGGAAACTTTCACATTTTTAAGGGAAAAGAGATATTTAAACTTAATCCTGTTATTGCTTTTTCAAATTTCTGGGTTTAAATGTTGCTTATCAGTGGCATAAAGCTTGCACAGCTCTGCATGGCCTGTGCTTATTCCTGCATATGGATTTCACTGAATTTTGGAAGACACAAACGTAAAGAGCTGCCATTTTCTTACAGGACACAATCTTAGAGTCAGAAAAGTCTCTCAAAATTGAGCTTTTCTTACAAATGCTGCTCTTTGATGTATACCCCCTTACTTTTCTGCTACATGCAGTCTGTTCTCATAAGCTTAGGTGCTTTGAGGCAGGGGCCGTCTTGGAAATACTCTCTGTGCTCTTAAATCAGTACCTGTACAAACTCAGCTCGTCCTTGTTGCAGGTTTTCTGTCACAACTCAGTTTCTAAAGATTGCTCATTTAAAGACGTCTTTTTGAAGTCAGGATTTCTTTCCTAGAAGGCACATGAGCTCAGTTCATCTGGGCAGTCTGTGGCTAACCTTCAGAGGAACAGGATCAGGTTTGCAAGATAAATAACTGTAAGAATTCTGGTTTTGCAGCATATTTTTTTGCTCATAAAGATCTGCTGAATTAAACTCTGAGACTGTTCCACTTATAAATCAGGAGATCTTATGGTCTTGATGTACACTCCTGTGGAGGACACAACCTGTCTGTTTGTATTAGAGCTATGGAATAGCTTCAGCTCCTCAGCATATGAAGAACAAAGAACATTGATTTATGCAAGCTGTAAAGGCTGATTTGATTTGCAAACTTTTTTAATTTAATAGGTGGTTCTCGGTGTGGTGTGAAGACTTCCCTTGGTGTGAAAGAAGTGTCGTACGGGGAAGAGGAGTTACTCCATTTCTGAAAAGTGCATCTGATCTATTCAAATCTTTTAGTATTTGAAAGTCTTTTTTACATTCAGGACAGCTGTAAATTCTAATTTTCTTTGTTTCTAAGAAAACCAGTAGTAGAGACTGCAGTTTTTCACCTGCAACCCTTGACAGTCCAAGTTCTTGTTAGAATGATAAAACTATTGACTAGATTTAAAGAAGATAAAAATCTTGCTTGTTATCTACAGAAAGATTTGTTTTGAAGGGACCTGGCAGTTGCATCTTTAAAAATACATGCCCTATTTTTTTTGTTTCTTAATGAGTGGAGTGCTAATTCGAGATTGATTAATCAATATAATTGGGTTGGAAGCATTCTTTGGTGGCAGTGTGACTTTAAACAAGTGCTTTGTTTCTTCTGTAATAACCTTCTCCTCTTCTGCACGTGGAGGACAGAACATGGGAGTCTCTCTCCAAAAAATGGTGCAGGGGGAAGCATTGAAGGTATGAAGGGGAATTAAAGGTACAATAGTCCTGAAGGTTTCTGTAATTGATCAGTTTTAACCATGAAGAATTTGAGTGGCCTTTCAAGGCAAGAAAGCAGACTTAGTATTTCTTTCAAGACGCTTCATATCATAGCAAATTTATCTTATCTATTAATGTTCTTAGAGGCGCAGACTGTGTTGTGTGCATCAGGAGAAACTTTTTAATTTTTTTAAAAATTTGCATCAGTTTTCTTTTTAAGAAATGCATGTCCCTCAAACTTACAGACTGGAGAGAAGTCTGAGTGTTTTGTTGGGTTTTGTTTGTTTGTTTGTTTTTGGTTTTTGTTTTTTTAAAGGAGTATCGAATTCAAAGTGATACATTTAACAAGTTTAGCCAGGCTGGGTATATACTAGTCATAATTATTTGAGGGCACATAAAAAAGTGGAAGACTGACTAATATTCTTCAGGGAAATTAGTTGTTCCATTTTATGGAGGTACAGTTCTTGAACTGGTCCCCAAAAAGTTGTCTGAGCCTTGTCCATGTGTATTTAAGCAACGGATTCTCAGAAATACGAGATATTTTATTTTTTTAGTTGTTTCTATGTTTTGTTTCAACAGAGGTACAGCTTTGAAAAACTATTTCCATGGCAACTAACTGTGTGAAGGTACTTATTTCATTCCTTGTAGGTACTGAAACTCAAGATTAGGTGGCTCACTCTCTTGAATAGGAAAAAAAAACCAATAAAAGAAATGCAAACAAAATACAATAGCCAATTAAAATAAGAGGTTTATTTATGGATAAATTCAGCCATGCTGATCACTGTGTGAAAAAAGGCCAATTGCTGTTATAGTTGGAAACCTGTTACAGCTGCCGGAAGGCCAGTTGAGGCCTTTCTTCCAGTGTTGTAGGATCACTGAGGCATTTTCATTCTTCTTTTTGAACTGTTGGCCCCATCACCTAATTTGCTTGTATTATTCTGTGTTTGCTTCCTTTGAGGCTACTGTCCTACCTTCTGATTTTTACCAAATAAGAGACAATAAACCTCTGGGACTGAGATCCACCCCTGAAGCACCTGGGAGTACTGTAACAGGATGAGTGTGTCTATCCAGTAGTGCAAAAGGCTTCCCTGCATTTGTATAGAGTTGTTGAAGTTCTGAGTTTTGTAACTGGCAGTCATTGCTGTGTTGACATTTCAAAACGTACAGAATTGTAATCTTTGAATTATTTTGGGAGTTCAGTGTTGCAATAAAAGCTTCCTGTTTCAATTCTTGCGTAGAAGAGAATCCTTCAAAAATTATTATTAAAATACTCAGAGTTAGGTGCACAAACCTAAGAACATTTGTTATTATGCTTAATGTGTTCTATGTCAAGAGTTAGATAAAGCAGCTGAGCAGGAGTGAAGAAAAACCGTTAGGATTCCATGTCATATCTGTGCCTTATCACCTGTAACTTAAAATAGCACGTAAGCTGTAGAAGGTCTAATTATATGCAGCAGCAGTGGGCTGTTAACTGGAGCAGTAACTCTTACTGTAATAACCAGCAACCTACAGCAGGATTTTTTGTAGCGAAAACCATAAGATGTATATAATTAGAGTAAGTACATTCACTTGATGGAACCGATTTATTACTACTATACTGCATATATTGAGGGAGATCCCTAACAGCCTCTGAAGGATGATACAAAATTCTTTCATTTTGGAGCTCTGCTTCCCTAGCTGCTTTGCAATTTGAAATTGTTTGGTTTCTCAAAAAATAAATTCCAAAAAATAATTTGTGAAAATTAGTTCTTGAAAAATAAACACAGCTAATGTTTCTCTCCATTACGTGAAGGAAAGTAAAGATGAGGGAGAGATGGTGACTTGGAACTGTAGCACTCCTCTTAAGTGCAAGGAATAGGACTGGTGAGGCACAAATTGTGGGTCACAATCAGGGTAAAATTCTCCCCACTTGTATGACAAGGTTCTCAAGGGCAAGTAAAACCAAGTAAGGGCAGAATGGCCCTTGAGCCAAGTTTGAGTCATGCAGCCTGGGAGCTTTAAACATGTACTTTGCATGTGGTAAAAAGTAACAGCGATGATACTCTCTGTCTGTGGGCAGTGTAGGTACTGGCTAAGGGGTTGTGTTTGTAAACAAGACACCTGATGGATTCTGTCAGACCTGACTTTCTGTCCTGTTAATGTAGCTGCTCGTTCCCTTGACAGGAATGGGTAAAAATCATCCTGGTTTTATGTGCACATTGGAAAGTTACTTGGTGGTTTTGCTCTTGTTATAATAATAGTAGACAAATGGTTGAATTATGCATTGCTACTCTTTAAAGGTTTTGGCTGGAATAGTTTGAGGGTCGTGAAAGCAATGGGCTGCGGTGACAACTTTGCTGATCTAGTGTATGGCATCAGTGTATTGACTTGTTAATCACATTCTTTTACATTCTCTTCAGAGTAAGTAACTGATACTGAAAAACAAAGCATGTTAATACAGAGTAAGCAGCAGTTACTGGTTCTGTGTATATATGCTGTGAATTAACTGTCACTTTTGCATTGCTGGCTTGTCCACCCTCTGCTTTCAATAAACTGCAGAAACTAGATCTGTGGAAGAAGTTTCTGTTGACCCCTGTCTCTGCTCCAGCATTCTCTTAAATACATACATACATTCTGTGCATACAGAAATACCTGGGTTTGACATCTTTAATTTGAATTGTGTTTTGGGAAGCTGATCTTCCCAGTAAAGATCAAGGCAGAAGCAGCCTTATCCTTGTCCTTCATGATCACCTCCCTATTCCCATTCAGATGCATCCACGGAAATCCTTTTTATTTGCCCTTCACATGCTTCATCAGATTGAGCTTTTGGTGGGCTTTGTCTTTCCTATCCCCATGCCTGCACACCCACACAGCATCTGTGTTTCTCCCCAGTTGCTTGTCCCTGCTGCCATCTCCCGTGTGTTTCCTTTTCATGGGTGAGTTTTGTCCTGAGCCCTTTGGTCAATCTCTGCTTGTTTGACTGTTCATCTTGTGGGAGGTGATACTTGAAAAATCAACAGGCCTCTCTTCAGGACCGTACGCCACAGGATTCTCTTGAGGAGATCTCTGAACGAGGCCTCTGAGGGCTGCTCTGCCAAGCTCCAGGGTTGTGATGCTGCTTTTTGCTGTTTTCCTCCCTCTTAGGATCCCAAATGGTCTGTCAAATATTAGGTATTGAGCTTTGCCTTTTGGGTGCATGTCAGATTGGAGGAAGCAGTGCTGTGATCCTTGATGAAATGGCACAGTTGGTGCTCATCCCACAGGGAGTGTTCTGTGACAGGTCCCCAAGAGTGAGGTCCAGGCTGAGTCATAGCCAGCTGGAAAACTTGCTTCCATTTGAGACACTCTGAGCAGTCACAATCAGGTGGTGGTGTGTTCATAAGTATTTGTGTTGGGTGAATGAAAACCTGTATTCCAGGTAGCCCTGTCTCAATTTCCTTGCAAAATAGTTTTAGTTCTCTGTTCCTGATATCTTCAGGAAAATCTGCATAATTATCACAGAGAGCCTGTGGTTTTCGACCTGTTAGGATTAGCACTTTTAAATTCAACTTTGTGCTAGTAAAAATTCCAAACTTTGCCCAGAAGTGAAATGACTCAAGTATATCTGTGAAACTGGGTTTAATTTCTGGTTGATAGATAGAGGTAGATACTCATCATGCAGCTGACTGCAAAGGCTTTAACATCATCTTTTCATTTGGCAGAGTAAATGTACTTCAGTGGAGCAGGAGAAAAACAAGTTTATTATCTAGTCTCTGTCCTCTTGATGACTTCTGCTGGATTATTATCCCTCACTGTCACCCTAGAATGGCCAGCCAATAATTTTTATTCCAATGATTTAGTAAAATGAAGAGATTGGCAAACACACTAGTCTAAGCCTTTGTTATCTCTGCTCCCTCACTTTTCCTTGGTTCTGTGTTAGGAGCTCTCACAAACTTCTCTAGTTGACATTTATCAAATAATTCCCCTCAATCCCTAGTGAACAGGTGAAATACAGGAGAGAGAAGTTACAAATTCCCTTGTGTTCCTTATATTTGGCTGTAATATATTTAGTACTGGTTCCAACGCATCCAGAATTAATCTTGACGGTTTGATCATCGTACTGTGAACTTCATCAGCTAGAAGACTGCCTCGGTGTCTTTCCTGGAACAGATGATACAAATAAATAGAAAAGGAGTGCTGTTACTGTAGCAACAAGAATGGTGAGATAATTAACTCTTGTCTGAATTGTGCACCGTACTGAATCTGGGAATGGGCTGTGGGATCAACAGCTCCTCTCTAATGCTGGAAATACTTCTCAGGATGCTGAGAAGAGTGAGGAAGGCAGTGAGAGGAGACCTTTGGGGTTATGTGGGAAGTGGGGAGGGGGTGGAATCCCTGAGGGAAGCTCTCACAAATAAAGGAGTTCATTAGGATTGGCATTTCATTAAGAGCAGGGTTTTCCAAACACAATAGCAGTCCAGGTAGATTGATTTGGGGGACTGTCTTCTCTTCATGGCTGCACCCCAGTTCTAGTGCAGTGTGAGGGAGTTAGAAACAGGAGTGGACTACAAAGGAAGAATCCACAACCACTGGCCAGGTCTGTAGGGATGGTGTTTGGAAAGCCCACACTCACCTGGAATTGATGCTTGCAAGGGATCAAGGTTAACAAGAAGAGCTTTTGTGACTGTGTAAGCAGTAAAGGACTGAACAGGAAAAAGTGGTCCTGGTGCTGAACGATGTGAGTGATTTAGTAATGCAGAGAAGGCTGAGGTGCTCAGTACCTTCTCTGTCTCAGTCTTTTCTAATAAGGTCCCCTAACTCTATACTCAGGAAGAGTTCCAGGAGAACAGCAGCAGTGGATGAAGAGTGAGTCAGAGATCACTTGGGAGTTCTAGACCCATCCAAGTCCTGGAGCCAGAGAGGCTGCATCTGAGGATGCTGAGAAAGCTGCCTGATGATTTTTCAAGGCTGTTCTCTCACCTTTGAAAGGTCACAGAAAGTCCACAGTAATGGGAGACAAATACTCCACCCATCTGTCAAAAGGGTAATCTAGGAAAGCATAGGCTGCTCAGCTCCACTGGACTCCTTAGAACAATCATGGAGCGAGTCCTCTTGGAACACCGTTTTGGGTACACGAAGAAGAAGAGGGTGTCTGGAAAGAGCATGGATTTGCCAAGATTAAGTCATGCTTGACTAGTCTGGTTGCTTCCCACGATAGGTTTGTGAATAATGAAAGTTGAACATAACAGTAATTTGCTGTTAGGTGTGTAAAAGGATAAAGCAGGAATTTACTTTTCTGCCTGGTCATATGTTTTCTCCTTAATTCCTGCCTTTTGAGGGAAGTGAGTATTGAAGTTGGGTATGCACACACGAAATCTCTGGAATTAGTAAAGTATCACTAGCTTGCTTCATCTTCCCTCCAAATACATTATTGGTGGTTTAATTTTGTTTAAGGTTGTGGATATACTGCAGCTAAGTCCTGGAGTTACTCCTGCTTCAAAGACAGACAAGTAACTAATTCAGTCGCAGAAAAACCTTGGAGTAAGATAGAAATTTGAATATATGTGTTTCTGTCTAAGTTTAACAAATTGTTTGAGGGAAAACACATAAGGCATTCTGATAAATGCACTACTTCCAGGATATTACACTTATCAAAAAAAGGAAAAATTAAAAGCAGCACTGAATTATCTCAGCCATGTTTTCATGTGCTGTCACTTATTTTATTTCTCAGTGTAGAACTGAACTTAGTTTTGCAGAACTTTAAGTAGTTCTTTTTCAAAGGTTGTCAAGTTGTCTTCCTTTTCCCCTTCTTGTTCTTGTGGAACGTGCTTACAGGGAACTGAATCCATGTTTTGGGGGTCATTATGTAATCTCTTCTGTATTTCGTGGTTGGTTTATTCAGATAACGTAGTGCAGGTTTGCTAATCTGCATTTTTCTCTGTGCCTAAAATGACCAGAGTATTCCTTCAGGGTTTCAGCTGACAAGCAGCAGTTAAGCCTCACATATCCTGAAGGTGGAGTATGGAACAGGTAGCACAGTGTTATTTAGTGGCCAGAACTACTTCCTGGTTATAAATACTGCTGATAATTGTCAAGTCCTTTTGCTGGTCTTCCCAGCTAAGGTCTTCGAGAATCCACACTACTGTCCCTCAGCAGAAGCCCTCTTCAGCCACAGGGTTCTGGTGGAGGGAGCAGGGTGTGCTGACTAACATCTGTAACACTCAGAAATAGCTTTTTTTCTCAGTAAAACTGTGTTATAGTGCTAATTAGATAATTCACGCTATACTTGCTTGTTACAAAAGAGAATAAAATACATACCAGCTCTGTTGCTGAGGCATGCACTTTATTTTTTATCTGCCTTCAGCTTCTGTATGCAACCTTCTTTTTTAGTCAGCCATTTTTGCAGTGTTTTGTCATGCGTCATGGGAAAAGGGTCCTCAGAATGTCTTGCTGAGCTGCATTTCAGGTTGTTCACTGCCAGAGAGATTTGGGTTTGCGTGCTCTTTGTAAAGAGCTCCTGTTGTTGGTTATTGCTGCAAATGAGTAATTGTATTTTAAAATACTGTGTAAAACAAAGGCAGCCAGAAAGCAAGCCAAAATAACAATTCTGGTAGGGTGATTTTCATAGTTCGAAATCTAGAAAATGCTGGTCATGTGTGGGAGGATTGCTGGTTCTTCTTTGAAGTTAAGTTTTAGATTTTCATTACAGTAACTATTTGAGAGTAAAGGGTATGTGGGAGGCATTTCAGTAAGTTTCTGAAACTCCTGAAGATGCAAGAGTGAGTTTTGAAAGGATAAATATTTTACTGTAAATAATTTATTGAACATGTCTTTTAAAAAAAACACAACCAACAAACAAGCAAAAAACCACTAAACAACCCTGAACCAGCTGTTAGTTAATTTTAATACCCCGCTGACAGTCCTTTGGACAGACAGTCAGCTCTATTCCAAAGATACCAGTGGTGGGAGTTCTCTCCATGTTTGCACACACCTTGTGCATACAGTCCTTCTGATTAAATGGTTACAGTTTTGAATAAAAAGGTATTTTTCCTTCTTCCCGCCTTCCCCCCCACTTTTTTCCTAGTTAAAGATGCACCTGCTATGTACATGCTCTCACACTGTCATTTTTTCAGAAGCAGCAGCAGGAGCAGGGAACAATTTCTGACTTGCCCATGCAACAATCAGGAGGAAAGAATAACATAATGAGAATTAGTATTTAGGAACTCTCTGAATTCAGAAATTCAGGAGTCTGACAGTATCTAAGCTCTTAGCCTGTCTCTGGATCTTATTAGCTGCCAGATACAAGTCCATCTAGCTTCTTATCCATGGATTAGTGTGCATCGTTGTCCCAAACAGGAGACTTTCATTGGTCATCTATGAATTTTTTCCCATACCGTTATTTATGTGTTCATGTATAATATGTACAAAGAACACATTTAATGTCCTTAAAAATCAGCTTGCTTTGACCTCCATAGAAAAAGCTGCTGTGTTGGATGATGCTGTAAGCTGTGACATTTGCATGGCACTGTAAACAAGACCCCCCCCTTCCTCGATGAATTGCAGTTGGTGACCTTGAAACCTTCTCCGGAGCCGGGGCTACAGTAGCAACTCTGTTCTCCAAATAAACCTGACTGGTTTCTTTTTTCAGAAAGTGGGGGAGTCTAGGAAGACTGGTTATTTTTGGATGACTGGGTGCAAAAGTGCTCCACATGTGTTTTTCTGCTGTGAGGTTATATATTAGCACTGATTGTACATAAAGCACTTCTTTGCAGGGAAACAAGGATGTTCTCTCCCAGAACTTGAAGGCAGAGCCATTAGCTTTCATTTTATTATTCACTTCTTGCAGTAAGAAAGAGGGACTGATTTCTTTTCTACAGTGGTGACTGTGCCTCAGCAAATCCTGAAGATGGAATTGGCCTCTTGCTTCTTTCTTCATGCATTTGCAACATCCTCCTCTGTGCTCTCTTGCCTTGTTGGCATCTCCTTGGAGCATTCATTCCTCTCTTCTTGCACCCTAAAATATTGTTCAGGAGTAGAGATGTTAATTAAAACCAGTTAGAAGCCTTACTGAAGAGATTTTGTTAGAGGAGCTTTACACTGCTCTAAGCTTATTGGAACTGTACCAAACAGAACTCCATAAATTAAGCCTTGCTGGTGATGCAAGAGGTGTGTGAGCTCCATTTTGTTCTTTCACAGCATGTATGCTAATTCAGCTCCAAGGTTTTGATTCTACCCTGGAGACCACAAAGCTGTCTGGCACTACTGGACATACCCCATGAAAAGAGATGGGAGCCACTAGGCTAGAAACTGAGAGGGGAAAGCAGCACACGCTTCCCTGGATTCCTTTCTCCTGTGCTTTCTATTCCATATGTCGACGCTGGAGGGGAAATGAGCACCCTTCATATGTTCCATTCACTCTTGCGAGAAGAGGCACTTACGTCATCTCGTAGTCACTGTCCTTGCCGCCCTGGCGGCAGCAGCAGCAGTAGGCCAAGATCCCGATCACTATGATTGCAGCAACGACTCCAGCGATGATCCCAGCGTACAGAGCGATGTTCATGGATGCTGCAGGGGAAGGAGAGCATTAGCCCTTGGCAAGGAGAGTGATGGTCAGCACAATCACTGACCTTCAAACCCCGCTCCCAGGTGTCAGATCTCCCTACCACATCCAGACTGAGTGGAAGCCACATTTGTTTGGCTACAGCAACTGGAGGTAATTCTGTGCTGGGTAGTCAGTAAGTCTTCAGGAGCAATTAGTGATAGGGAGGAGCCCCTGGGTCTGAGCAACTGCTGTACTAATTCTGTGAGTTAGAGAGTGCTCTACCGACACTAAACCAGGGGAGAGGGTCTCTTTCAAAGGTGTGCAGCAGCCAGATAAACTTGTTATTCCCATCCGTTAACCCTTTCCGTCTCAGCTTGGGTACTTTCTCTGGTCCTGCTCCTCCAGTGTGCAGCCCCTTCTCTTACGTGGCACAACGCTGACTGTCATGTTGCAAAACTCCGTCCCCACAATGTTTTTTGAAGTGCAGATGTAGAAGCCAGAGGTATCTGCTGAGATGTTCTTCAGAGTTATTTGTTCCCCTGTTGTGAAACACAAATCCAGTCCAAAAGAGAAAAGAATTAAAGCAGGGAAGGAGGTGGGGACAGCAGCCCTTCAGTTCCAGCCCAGGGTGGTTGGAGTGATGAAAGGTGCTTAAAGCTGATGGATTGTTCTGATTTGCTCTGGAGCTGCCATGCTCATCGCTGGGTTTTAGTGTGATTTGTGGGAGGACAGACGGAAGTGTGCTGTTTAGATTACAGGGAATCTGTGGTATTTGAACATTCCTTTTAGAAAGAAAACTGTAGGTGGAGGGTAGAGAAGTGTGTGTGCTTAGTGACAGCTTTTTTTTTTTTTTTTTTTTTCCCCCATTGGATTTTGCTGAGAAATACAAGATGCCCAGACCACCATCTGGCTTTCAGAATTAAAACAACAAAAAGCTTTTCAGTCTTCCAGCTCTTAGGATTTCAGACCTGAGTTATTTAGCAGTGGAGGGAAAAGTTTTCTAGTCTGAAAGAAGCCACACAGGCTATGAAAATAAACGAAGAAAAAGAAATGCAGTGACATGACTCATGATACTGGTGTTTTGTGTCCAGCCTAACAGAGCTCAGCTCCATAGGCTGAAGCTTAGGCAGTCAGGCAATCAGTTTTTGTTCGTTACGTCTCCAACTGATGTTTGTATGTGTAGTCTGCACTTTTTCATAGAATAAAGGTCTGAATCCTTGCTCTAAAAGCAAAAGACTGAACACTTTCCAGTGCCTTTCCTGTTTTCTTTTCCCTGTGATCTCACTTCTTTGTGTTCATTCTCTGCTGGCGCCTAGTGCCAGATAGTAGAATAGCACACAAACTGAGAAATGATTCATTCATTTTATTTTTATTTTTTTTTAGTCTCTACATACTGCCTGTGCTTATTTATATTTTCCCTTTTTATTTTATTTTTGGTGTGATGTTTGTATCTCTGAGTTGCAGAATATACTTAGAATGCAAATCCTCCGGTTAAATCCAAAGTGAGTCAAACTGGGAAAAACGTGGATCAGATACTATCAATTTTGGAGTGTCTCCTGAGGGGGTTCTGCACACTTTGCAGCAGTAGGACTTGCTTAACACAGAAAAAAATTGCTTGTAGCGACAGTCCAACCCGCTTGGGGCACAAGGGGACGGTCGGCACACTGCTGGGACACGGGTGCTCTGGTGAAAACAGCAGTGAGGAGGAAATGGATCAGAGGAGACCGCGGGGAGAGCAGGATGGCAGCAGGAGCAGCAGCAGCTGATGCTACAGCACGTCCCGCGTGCTCAGGGCTGTGCGTGATGCGCTGGCACCACTTAGTGGCCAGAGAGATGAATAAGGTTCGTGTCCCCGGTGATGTTTCATCCCTGGCGTATTTTATACAAGAATTGGCTTGAGTGAGTGTTGAATATCCTGTGGAGTCTCATCATATTTAGTTTACCTCCTCCAGTAAGTTAAACTGGGAAGGGTAGGCTCAGAGACTCAGTCTTTCTGAAGCTGGACAGGCCAAGAAAAAACAAAAGTTTAATGGAAAAAATATGAGTCCTCTGTCACTGCTACACCTAAAAGAGTGTTAAACCTTCCTTTCTCTACAAATAGTTCTACTGAAGGTCTCGCCTTGGAAATTCAGTTCCCTTTTCTTTACAGATTCTGACATAAAATGGAAGCAAATAAAATATTTGGGCTTATGTGTCAGTCCTGAAGAACCAAAAGCCTCTTTTATGCTCAAAGCAGGAATGATGTAACTTTCTCATGCCACCTTCCTCTAGGTGAGGAATCATCTCTGGAAGTAAAGTAGCTTTCAGAGCCAACTTTTGTTACCTTCACCCTAGAAAATGATCTGGTCACTGTCAAGCAAACTGGGATGCAAAGACAAATCAATTAGAAAAGTCGATGCTGTTCCTCTTGTTATGCCCCCCTTACAACCAGCAGTCAAGAATTATTTCTGGCTGCTTCCAGGGAGAGACAGCTTCCTCAACAGGTGAGAGCTGAAGTTAAAAACTTACTGACCATCCTTACTTCAGGTTACAGTGCTTTTCCTCCTGCTGAGTTACTTATGAGCATGTCTTTTATCAAAAGGACAACTTTTCAAAATCCTGATCGGGGAACGATGTAGAAAAAGCCTGAAGAGTATTTGCATTTCAAAAGCTTTCCAGCCCTCATCTGCAAAGAGCTCAAGGACTTGATATCTTTAAATTTCCCTTACCTTCTGTGTTTTCTAGTGCTTGGGGCTCATTTTGTATATTGAAGCGTGTCCAGGTATATTTGGGCTTTGGGGAGCCCTCATGAGACAGGCAGGTTAGGTTGATCGTCTGTCCATACTGTGGTGTCCCCAGAATCCCGCAGTCAGGCTTGGATGGTGCAACTGAAGGAAGAAAAAAGCAAGTAATTTTATTAATTAGACATAGTTTCTTGTTTCAGCCCATCTTCTGCTCCTGTAGTTTTTATTCTTGCTAAACAGAGGCTGGCCTTGCATCTACCACCTTCTTCTCAAAGGAACTCCAGTGAATTTGTACCTATTTTGTTTCTCCCTTCTTGGCACTGGAAAGACAAGAAGGAATTGTAAGATGCTTTTTGGGGTGTGTCTGGTAGTGTTAGGTGTTATCCTTTGATAACTGGAGTATGACAAGGCACAGGGGGGATGAGGAATGCTCTGCAATGAGGCATGGATTATTAGGGAAGTGTACTATACAACTCTAAAGACTATTTTCTAGAGTCAGTTGTCTGAGGGAGTTGCATGCTCTAAGCCTTCTGACCCACTTCCATAGTAGCAGGAAAAGACCAAAGATGGAATTGTGGATGACAACTTCATGGTTTTTTTTTTCCTGTTAGAAAATTTGTTGTTTAAAATAATCTGGATATTAGAGGAAGGGCAGTTTTATCTCATGAGTGTGGCTTTGCCTCCATCCCCCTACTTACCAAGGACAAAGAGGGACAGGACTGCGCTCTGCCGGGGGGAGTCGTTCCTCAGGCGGACGGAGCACACGTATGTCCCGTTGTCCTGCATGGTCACGTCGCTGATGGTGATGCTGATGTCCCCACTGTTCACGTCACCACCGAACTGGACACGGTTCTCATAGCCCTTGCCATACTGTACAAATCCATCAAAATACCTTGTGACGGCATCAGTCTGGTGGAGAGGGAGGGAACAGGGTCAGTCGCAGTTCCTTCTGTGTGAGTCTACAATGTAACCCGATGAATTAGCCCAGTCTTGGGAGCAGCCTGGGAGAGAAGGCCTTGAACTGCACTAGCTTGACAAAATGCCATGAAAAACACAGAAAAGGGTCTGTGTTTCTTTCTGGACTCCCTTTCTTCCCACCTTATGTGAAATCAGAGACCACTGATTTCTTTTGCTGGGGCTTATTCACCTTTCCTCTCCATTACAGGACAACGTGAGACTTGTCTGAGATCCATATGTCAATCAAATTCCCCTATGGTTACACAGATTCTTCCAGCAAGGATCTTCAGAGAATAAACCCTTGGCAGTTCTCGCAAGGAGATCTCCAAAGGCTGCTTCTTCTCTTAATAATTTTCAAGAAGTCAAGGAGAACTTTTGTTCTTATTACCTTCAGATACTCCATATTAATGTAGGAGGCTTCAAGAATCTCTCCATGTACTATTACTATCAATTTGAGACTTTTTATATTGTATCAAAGATATCCATATATATAAATATATATGTATACCACACATAGAATATATTAAAAGTATACATATCTTTTTAGAAGGTATCTGAGTATTTAACATATTTTAATAGTTGTAAACCCCACAGTACATACAGTGATGTATCCTCACTAACCAGTAGTGAGACCAAGAGAGAGGAAGAAGGGTGGGGGCTTGCCTAATGTCATGCAACAGCTTCAGGATAAATTGCATCTAGATCAACGTTTCTGTTCGCTTAGTTCCGAGATTAAAAAAAGTCTTGGAGACATATTTGTCATCCCACACACATTCCCACCCACAGTCCTGCTTCCATCTCCCCAGCCACCCCCGTCTTGGATGCCCTGACACGTGTTTCTCTATGATGTACCCCAGTGCTGATTTTGCTCCAGACAACAATGTCTCCCTCGTGCACAGAAGCCTCAGTTTTGAAATGACAGCGGAGAGTCGCGTTCCTTCCTCGCGCCACCTGTATCTGCTTGGCCGGTGCTTCCACAGTGAGGGCATGAGCAGACACCAGAACTGGGAAGAGAATAAATTCTGCACTCAGCAAAAGCAACAACATCTGGGTTCCACATTTTATCGCTTTGGCTTTCTCACGTGCCACAGAAACCCCACATTCCCCCTGTCATCCATGACATTCCCTGCTGAGCAAGAGGTGGCTGATTGACTATAGGAAGCTGCTGCACAGGATGGCTGAGAGCTCAACTCTGCTCTTCACTGTGTGTTTTGAGGGAGAAAAGGAGGTTCTCTGCCTAGACATATATTGCCATGGAGTTTAGAAAGATGTTTTGGTTTTTTTTCCCTGAGCCCTCTTTCAGTATGACTGACATCCTTTGACAGTTCAGAATATACAGAGGGAGACATAAACAGATACTGCAAGTGCATCACCAGTCTTAAGGATTCAGGCTAAACTAACAAACTGAAATTGTCTAATTTCAGGGATCAGGAAAACTGTTAAAGAACTTGCCTCAATCCAAGTCCATAGAAAAGCGACGTTTTATGCTAGGGAATCAAAACTTGTTCATTCAATGCCCTGAAAACAGAAAAACCTAGAAAAGCAAAGAGTGATTCAAAGAAATGAGGGAAGAATAGCTATTAGTGTTCATAAATGAGTAAGGCAGTAGTCACCTTTGCCCAAGAACTCAAGTTCCTGCCCCTGAAGCACCATAATAGTTGAGAGCTGAATAAAACAGAAATCCCTCTGTGCCCTGGTGAAGCATGCAGGGCACAGGGCAGGTATTTCTTGTACACTGTATTCCATCTGAGTTGCTCTGAATTCATCGTGTCTGAGCGTTACCTAGTGGGCAGTTTTTAGTTGTTCTCAGAATTGAGATGGACACTTGCCTCTGCCCTGCCATAAATGACCTTCATGCCTGTAGGGATCTGTGGTTAAAAACACCTGCTTTTCCTAACAGTTTGTGTAGGTTCTGTGCTTGGGTTTGGTTTGGTTTTTTTTAATGGCACCAGACTGAATCATTTGGAAGGAATGTAAATGGCAGGAAAGGAAGTGCTGCTCAGAGGCACTCCCACAGCACAGAGGAGCATGGTGATGCAAGGAGGGGACTTAAGGAAGGCCGAGATGTATGCTCACCCCTACTGGGGGCCTGCTGTGTGTGGTGGGAAAGGTTTCCTTCAGGAAGCTACATCAGTGTTCCCTGGAAAGGGTTTGTCTGAAAAGTTGCCATCTAGCAAACTTTTGAGTCCTCATTCTGCCATATCTTTGTCCAGATTAGATCTATAAGGAAGTGTAACATGTAAGAGAGTTGCAAACTGGCTGGGAATACCAATACCTGCTGTTTTAGACAGGAAAAGCCCAGCCGCTTGCATCAGGTCAGTAAGAGAAAGCCATTGGTGAGTTGAACACTGCCAGATCCTTGACTAGCAGCAAGTGATAGAAAATAACAGTGTAGGGACCCAAGAGGTTTTGTTGCCACTGAGCTAAGAATCTGCAGCTGGCAATTCAGGTAATTACACTGGCACAGGAATGTGCTTTTAGCCAAAGGTCTCATCTTTCTGCATCCCTGCCACCCAACCGAGTTGCTCTGTGGTCTCGCACAGTTCATTAGTTAGGCCTGTGTTTTAACCTCTTGCTTTGTGACGTGGCGGCGGTGGTTTCTGTTCTCATGGAGGTTTTTTTCATTTACAGCTGCTGACAGCTACGAGAAGGAAACCATCAGGGCAAAGTATTTCTCGAATACTTTTATTGCAGCCACTCCCAGGTCTTTTACCTGCTCTGGAGCACCCAGGGCAAGGTCCATGTTTGCGTAGCCCCAGAGCTCTTTCTGACTGTTGTTTTCATATCCCCTCAGAATGAGAGACACCTGTGAAAGCTTTCTCTTTGCTTGTTGCAACTGGATAGAGGTGCTTTCCTGCATTTAGGTGAAAAGCACCACTGTCTGTACTAGAAGATGAAGCAAAACCAATTTCCTGATCCTTTTGTCACTCAAACTGGTTCCAACAGGCTGGGGTTCACTGACAGGTCATTAACTTGAGCCCCGAGACAGAGAAGGCACTGCCCAGTCCTAAGGCTTCTTTTCCTTTTTCCAGTTGGATCACCCAAATCCCTCAGATCTTTCTTTTTTTCTATACACGTCTTGGGTGGCACAGAGTTGGGGAACAGCTGGAGCAAACACCATGTGCAAGAGACACAGCCTATAACAAATGGGACTGCTTTTTCATCTGGTGCTGTCACCCCACTGCCCCACTTCTTCTGATGCTCATCTGTTTGTCACCCGCATCTTTCTGGATCCCACAGCTTCCCTCTCTCAGGGAAGCTGCACAGTTTCATTCTGGGATGCTGATTTCCTCCTTCCCCTTTCTCACCACATCTCACTTCATAGTCAGCATGTGTAGAAATTGCGGTTCATTTTTCAAGGGTTGGAGTTCTTTTTGTGAGGGAAAACAGAATCTATTCAAAGTATGGCTGGAGGGAGGGGAGGCCAGTTCAGAAAGAATTCCATAAAAGGAAAGAGGACAAATAGCCTGTGTACTACCAGTCAGTGTCACCTAGATTTAACCCTTAGAATTACTTTTTTTGGTGTTATCAATTAATATGTTTATAACAACTCAAGAAATTGAGAAAGGTTTTATCTCCCTCTGCTCAATTTAAGATTTGTACTTGTACAAAGAAAAAAATCACGTCTACTTTCATATTCCTTACTGAGTGTTAATAGATCGAAAGAAAATTAATACTGCTAGAAACAATTAGAGAAATATTTTGTTTGCTGAAAAAATGAGATTCCGATCAAGCAAAATTAGTATCGCTGATTTCTCACAGTAGATTTGGCAAGTGAGAAAAGTAGGAAAAGAGGAAATGTTTTACTTCATTTTTACAAGGAAATTTTCTGATTTTTAATTCATTTACCTCAGAATTTAGTTAAAATTTAATTCAAAAGCAGGAGAGAGAGAAAACCTCTTAAATGTGAAATTTGCAGTAAAATGGCAATTTGTGTCTTTTCCTGCATCGAGGAGTTCATGGTACCAGTTGCTCACACAACTGCAGAACTCAGCTAAGCACCGGAATCCTGATGCAGTTCATTCAGGGCAGCTCTGGCATCCCAGCACTGCACTGCACTTCTCCACTCAGAAGGTATAGCAGATTCCTGCACTGCACCTCCAGAAATTTTTCACAGGTATTTTAACACTAAATTATTGCCATTTGAGTTCTGCCCATACAGGCAAAAAAAAAAAGAGCTCTATCCAACTTACATATTTCTGCTCTGAAAAGTTCACCATCCATAATTTAGATGGAATGAAAGATGAGAATAATGAAAAATTACACAATTTCGATAATGATCATGAAATCATGACCTCTGTTGCATATAGAGCACATCCACTTTTTCTAATTACGTTAAACTTTGTGAATTTCCTTCTTGTGGGTCTTATTGAAGTGAGGTTTTCATGATTTTTGGTTTAAAAAAAAGCAACTCCATGAGCGTAGCTTGGTCTGGAGCCTGGAAGAAGGTGTGGGAACATTGGTATGAGAAGATGAGACAGGATAAAAAGCAGTGGAACTGAGAACTGGAATTGCTCTGCAAGGCAGAAATGAGAAAGGGCAAGACAGTGATGAAGGCCCAGGGTGAGCTGGCTGATTTCTGTGCTTTAGTAGGAATCACTGTGTGTCCCCTTGGTGTGAGTGATACGTAGAGATCACGACTGGTATCGATGTACTATTTAGGCTACAGAGATGTTCGGTACATGCAGATTCACGTATAGAAGAGTAGGATTCATGGCCAGGTTGAATGGAACTGAGCAATCTGGTCTGGTGAACGGGGTCCCTGCCCATGGCAGGGGTTTGGAACAAGATTAAGGTCCCTTCCAGCCAGGGCCGTTCTATGATTTTTCCACTCCCAGATAAGGAAGTTCCTTCTTCAAAGGTAAACACTGTATTTAATGGAAACCAGCAAAACTGCTTTAAAAAAATATTTTTCAGCCTCATAAAGAACAGCATTTTCCCCCACTGTCTTGCGGCTTTAGGATATGCCCATGTGTGCCTGGACGTTGGGCATAGAGGCACCACAGACACTTGTCTGATCATAAACACAAGGGAACCTTTACTAAACAAAAAAAGAAAACCCCTCATAGAGTGCATTAGAGTGCTCAGACTTTGTAGTGCTGTTTCCTTCTACCCAACCCTTGAGAACATAACCAAATTAGTACTCACTCGCACTGAAAACGAACAGCCCAAGTCTTCTCATTGCCATCCCCCTCATCTCTCCTTTGTTTCACCTCAAAGTGCTCTTCCTTGTAATCTCTAGGTGCCTGGATAGTAATTGGCTTTAGCTGAAGGGCTGCCTTGCAGTGACATCCCAAGTTCACTTCCTTGGTCTCTTTTAAAGTGCTTCTTCCCCAGTCTGCCACTCCCCTCCCAGCCAGAATGACAAGCCAGATAACCAGTAAGCTTTGACATTGCATGCTGCTCCCTGCCTAGGGCAGAGAGGAGACTTGTGAACTCCTTCCCCAGCTGTAGTCTTTCCTCCACAATTAAACTGCCTTTCCCAGTTTCCCCTAACACACAGGTAGATAAAGCAAGCATAGGGACAAACTGAAGGGTGTGGTGAGACTGGGAGTGGAGTGTACAGTGCATGTGGTGACAGGTGACTAGGGGAAGGGTCAGCCTCATTCATCTCAAATATTTATTAAGGGAGCCTAGGGATAGAGTTAAAAAGGTTCTGAAGTGTTTCATAATTCAGGCAGCAGCCCACATCTGAGCTTTCAGGAACTGAGGTGCCTAACTCCACTCACTCCAAATACGCGTAAGAATATGCAATTTATGAGAATTTGATCACTAATGGGTTATCTAAATAAAAGTGAGATGCATCTCAGCCAGGTTTTCTCTTTTAAGCCTGCTGTTCATCTGCCCAGTGTGTGGTTTGCACAACAGCTGTAGGTACCAAAGGTGCTCCTCCCTTTCAGCTGAAAAGGGCAGTCCCTGGCTTGCAGGTGCTGGCTACATGCCCAGGAGTGCAAACCCAGGCACTGCTCCCATGCTCTGGGTTGGCACTGGCAAGGCACAAATAGCTGCTCCTGTAATTGACTGAAGAATACAAAGAAGACTGATGGCAGCCGGGGCAAACTTCTGACATTACGTTTAACTGAGGGCAGCTGGACAGTGTGTCTCTTAAAGTTTTCACTGCCCTAGGCAGCTTGCTTCCATCTGGGATAGCCATCTATGCTCCATTTCTAGCCATTTGAGGGACAAAGTTGCTTTTAGGGTGTGAGTGATCATTTTAGGCATCTTAGATCAGTTTCAGATTACAGTGCAGTGATAATACTGATGAACTTTGGTTTTTTGAAGGAGGCTACCTTGAAAGTGGTTGTCTACACTGAATATCTGTATTTAGTCCAGTAAAGTAGATCTGTATCTTGCTCTCGTGCTGACCTCAAACTAGCATGGTAAACCTGCCAAGATGCCCACTAAAGGCTGCCTTGGGGTCCATATGGTAGTTGTTCAAAATACCTCCAAGACAGTGAAACTTGCAAGTGACTGGAAGTCCCTCTGATAGAAAGGACAATCTGTACTTCTGTTCTTATACACAACCTCAGTTCTCCTCCGACTGTTAGCACATAAGAGTACAGAGACTTTATTCTTTGGGAATCTGCCAAATGAGGACAGACAGTAGAACAATTCATGCTGGTGTACATGTCTCCTCTTTGGTAGGCTGCAGGCATTAGGAGATGGCAAGGACCCTGCAAAGAAGGCAGAGCTGTTTTCCAAAAGCAGCTTGCTAACCTCAAAATGTTAACTACAAATTACTTAAGATGTAAACAAAACTGCAGAAAGGTCAGTAGTCTCCATTATCTGCTTTGGAGCCCACAAGGATTAGACTCCTTACAAGGATGAGTTCCTTAAATGTTTACCTCCTTTAAACACTTTAAAATCTTTGTAACTTTATCCCACAGCCTTCAGGGAGAGACATGTAGGAACTTTACTGCAGCTTCCACACTTTTGAATTTGCTCCCATTTAATACTTTAGGTGAATCAGAGATGCTGACAGAAATGCTGTTATTGTACACCATCTGCCCATACTTCCTGTGTTAATTCTCAATTCTTTACAGAACAGCTTTGAGTGTTCACCATAGGAAGTTGGTTACAGTTTCTGACAGACTCTGTACTAACTTGGTCAGCTTGCTGTTACCTTCTTCACAGAAATAAGACTTTCACTATCATTTATACAACCTCTCTTTCTTCTCTTCCCCCAATAATTTTGAAAGCCAGTTGACTGATTTCAGCTAAATTTGATGGACAGATAGTAATCTTAAAAATGGGAAGATCCTTTCAGTCTCATAAAAATCAGCAATCCCAATCTGTTGGGACAGGAGAGAAATCTAAAGTAATGGTACCTCGTAGGCATTAATAATTGTCTCCCATTCCAAGAATCTGTGGTTTCACAACCGGTGCAACCATGGTCAGTCTTATTTTTTGTGCAGCCAAGGAAAAACTGTAGAGTGAGTAGTAACAGAGACAGCCTTTCTTTTCTCATGGCCATGTGGCAATGCTGGTGTGGAATCAGTTCCCTGGTGGGAACAGTTTTACCCTGCACTCCTTCGCATCACAAGTAAATAAGTTGGCACTGAGATGGACAACGTTCTGTTGTTTTGGAGACTTCGCTAAGACTGGTTTCCTGGGTGTTGTGGAGAGCATATGCTTCAACACCTGATACTTACATAAATTGATATTAAAATGCTTGTTTAGATGCACTGTATTTGTTGCTTTTTTTAGTTATTTAAGCCTGGATTGGAAGAGGCACTTTTATGCTGTCACTTTTTCCTGACAGTTCTCATTGGGGGTCTCAGATTAAAAGCAGAAAGCAAATGTACAGTTTACCTGTGAAAAGTCAGTAGAGTTGCCCTGTGGTGTGGTGGGGTGACCCTGGCTGGATGCCAGGTGCCCACCCAAGCTGCTCTCACTCCCCTCCTCAGCTGGATAAGGGAGAGAAAATGTAATGAAAGCTCATGAGGTGAAATAAGGGTGGGGAGAGGTCACTCACTGATTGCCATTATGGGCCAAATAGACGTCACTTGGGGAAATTAATTGAATTTACTACCTGAAAATCAGAGCAGGTTAATGAGAAGTGAAGCAAGTTTTAAAAACACCTCCCTCCTTCCCAGGCTCTACCTCCTCCCCCTGGTGGTGCAGGAAGATGGGAATGAGGGCTGTGGTCAGTTCATCATGTTTCTGCTGCTCCTTCCTCCTCAGGGAGAGGAGTCCTTTCCTTGCTCCAGTGTGGGATGCTTCCCACAGGAGACAGTCCTCCATGAACTACTGCAGCAGGAATCCTTCTCACAGGCTACAGTTGTTCACAAACTGTTCCAGCATGAATCTGTTCCATGAGGTGCAGTTTTTCAGGAACAGACTGCTCCAACGTGGGCAATTTTAAGAGATGTTAATTTTGTTTCTGGGTTGACTTTCTTTCCCTGTCTAGCATGAGTTGCCAGAGCTCACAGGCAGTGGCACCACAGCAAAAGAACTGCCACAGGTAAAGGAAGACAAGGCTTTAGAAGGGTTAATCGAAGCATTTTGCTGCAGGGGCCCACTGTTCTCCCCCCACCACTTTCTCTACCTTGCTCAAAAGAGATCTCGTTCTGTACAAATTCTGCAGACCTAAAATATTTACAGGTACATAGTACAAAGAGCCCAGAGGTAATAAATCTTAGCCAAAGGAGCCAAGGTAGACATTTGAATAGGTAAAGTGGGCCTAAAGCCAAGGGTTTCTTTAAGCCTGAATGATCAGAACACAGAACAATAGAAAGTACAAAAGGTCCCTGAGGTGACGTGAGGATGGGGACTGAGAAAGCAGACCCCAGGATGAAGGCAAACAGGAACTCCCGCTAAAATATTCCTCAAAATGGAGACCACGTCTCAAACTCCGCCCTGACTCCACCTGCTATGAATATTGTAATCTAATGATGCAATAATATGAATATGCATATGATTATGTTGTAATCATTGTCAGAAGCTATATAAATTGCTTGTTCTATTCAAGCACTGCGGAGCCTGTTTTCCCAGCACTAGCTGGCAGGCTGCCCGGCCGTTAAATAAATAAATAAATACCTGCTGTTTTAGGCATAAAACTCTGTCTAAACAGTTTTATCTGCTTTTTTTTGGGGCATCACAGGTACCAGCAGCACTGCCAAAGCTTTGCCATGGCCCTACTTAGGCTGACACATATCAGCTGCTTCATCTCTCACCCATGGGCAATGTAGACCCTGGAAGTCTTATTTTTGCTGATGACTGCAGCTCTGGGGAATCTTTTTGCTGATATGTAGGATTTTTAGGGGCTATTATTAGGTTATTTAAATGAAACTGCTGTTGACATGAAAAGCTTAACATGAAATACCAGGATGACTTCCTTGTGTTGCCAGAAATACACACTTTGATAAGGCTCACTTGTAAAAGCCAACAAGGATTAATGCATTGGTAGGGTAGTGCTAACACTATAAATTAAAGTAACTCCTGTTAGCTAAGAGAAAGGGGAACCTCCCATCAAGTTCCCACCTTTCCCACCCAAGAGGATAGCACCTGGCCTTATTCAGTTTGGGTTCATTTATGAATGAATACATTAATCACCAGTGACAGATGCACAACCACTTACAGCTCGTTACTTTTTGCTATGTTTGCACATGTAAACGTTCCTTAGCCAAGCTTCCCATCATCCCTGCCTCTGCTCTACCTGGTCATCTTGATTCCAAAAAGCAAAAACCTTTATCCAGCAGTGGGGAGGAGCTGCCAGGCTGCTGCTCTGAATATTCTCCACAAGTCTGCAACCTACGGGATCCTCTCAGTGTCTCAAAATCTGAATGGTTGCAGTGGGCATGGCAGGGCCTTCAGCTCTTGACCCCGTCCCTTTGCTGCTAAAGATTCACAAACAGGATTTTCAGAAGCAGCTCAGTGACTTAAAAGCATCTGTTTTTATTCAGTGTCAGTGGTAAATGTGCTCCCACAACATTTAGGACCTCTGTTCTCCAGTCGTAAGGCAGTCCATAAGCATCTTTAGATCACTTCCTGCCTCAATTAGCAGTAATTAAGAAGAACACGTATGTCCCTGCATTTCAGAAGCGGCTAAAAATTGCATTGCCTGGAAGAGGCAGCTGCAGGATCAACACAATTCATTCTCTTTTTGTCCGTGAAACTGTTAGGATCTCTCCAAGCCTGTAATCAGTCATCCATTTCTCCCTTTGATATGACACCTGAGATTCAATATTCCACTTCCTCTTGTTCCTATTTGCTCACCCCAGTAACTGTGTTAACACAAGACCAGGATGTGGGCACATAAAGACTTGGGTGCCCATTTCATGGCTCTTCCCTGATGTGATGCGACATCCCTACAGATGTGGGGATGCAGCACTCAAGCAAGAAGGAAGGGGGGAATGCCCAGCATGATGCGGTAGCAAAGGTATCTATGGTATGAGTGAGTTTCCTTTTCCACTTCCTTTCTTCGCTTTCTTGTTGGCTTGTTTGTTTGCAGAGGGAGTCAACAGTGGGATGTCATCGCATGACTCAGAACTGGAGCCCCCAGCACAGGCAAACAGCACTTGGCCTTTCACCTGGTTCTACTCCAGACCAGCCTGGCCT